ATCCAGAGGATGGAAAAAGTTACTATGTAACTTTTGGAAACATTTGTTGACTAACAAAGCACTCACAGGTTGTTATATTTCATTACAATGATGAATTTTAAAATCCGCCATAAGGTACCTTTTGTCAATTATGGTCACATTTTCATCTAACACAGAGCTTGGAACTTTCTCAGGACGACATTCAACTTCAGTTTCTTCTACTAACTTGTCCGAATTCATGGTGGTATGAATTACTTCATCATTCACAAACCAATATAAAATGACTATAACATACTATGAAGAACTGAATCATAAACTCAAAACAAACTTCTTTCTCTGTGGTGTGGTCAAGAAAACACTGCCGCTTCTTAGTATTTTCACACTTTCTTGAACGTAGTCCAATTGTTGTCATTGTGTTACCTTTATGTCTACCTCTGGTTTTCACCACTGGTGGTACCTTCAAACCTACCATGTCTCCATTACATCATTGATAATTATATAAATAACAGGGGTGGGCGATATTGAATTTTATAGTCATGATAATTTTATGTGCATAATATCATGATATGGGTAATTATCACAATATTTTTTAAAAATGTTTTTTTCAAAAGAAGAAAATTAATCATGTACATAGTACTACATACACTTTACTACAAAATGGTTCTTAGTAAGTTAGCAGTCTAAATTCTTTGCCAAAAATTTAAGCATATTCACCTTCTCCGGCTTAAGACACGTTCTCTTGGAATTTACAATGTGCCCCGAGATGCTAAATAGTCTTTCAGATGCCTTGCTGGTGGCACAGATGCTAAAGTACTTCTTTGCAACCTTAGAAAGTAATGGGTACGATGACGAATATTGTAGCCACCAGACTAGAGGGTCATCCTCTGTATCTATCTTAGGACAAACTAGGTATTGCTTGATCTCTCTTTCAGCCTTGTCTCTAGTAGAAAGAGGGCCATCTCCGGAAGTTACTCCTTTCTTTTTTAAAATTTGCCCCAACTTCCTTTTTTTAGTAGATGGTTCAGGTTGTTCGGGAGATTCAAGTAAAGGGGCAACACCAGACCTTTCAGAACTGGTAAGTTCCACTGCTTCTTGTAAAATAGACTCCTTTATTTTTGCTACGTGATTATCTGGTACATATTCAAGTCGAAAACGTGGGTCTATGAATGTAGCCTTGTCTAGTAAATCATTAATCTCTGAAGAAGAATAGCAACTCAAAAGTGATGAAAGGATTTTCTGCTTTAAGGTCCTTCCGGATAAGAACTTCTGTCTTGAGATGATGAAGGAGAGGTTTTAGTGATGATATAGTTACTAGTTTCTCTGATGATAAGATGTTAGTGAATTCTGCCAAAGGAGAGAGGACTTCATCGAGTGACTCCATGACATCAAGGTCCTGCCAATTAGGAATGAGATGCGTCGTTTTACGGTCAAAACCAAGCACTTGACGAACTGCCTTCTCTTGTTCAAGGATTAGACCAATCATTCACTGCTGAGGCCCCCAGCGTGTATCACAGTCCTATTAATAGCAAAAAAACACTAGTAACATACATGTACACGTACCTGTAACTATAATTAATATTACTTAATCAAATACATTTTACACATTACATGCATGTATATAGCTATTTTATATTTAATTTAACTCACATTGATAAGAGAATGTTCTGGTAGATTATGATCCACTTGTGCTTTGCGTAAATCTCTCCTTTTCTTCCAACTATGTGAGAAACTACCGACTATTTTTCTACTGAGTGCGAGAATCCGAGAGACACGGGTGTCATCTTTGGTGGTGTTCGTAATAGCTAGATGTAAATTATGTGAAAAACACGACAGACGAGGCCAATTGAGAATAGTGGTGGCTTTAACAAAATTAAACCCATTGTCGGTAATACAGCATGACAGACGGTCTGGACTTAAATTCCATTCTTTAAATGACTCGGTTAATGCTAAAGCTACGTTTTCCCCCGTATGATCATCAGGACAAAAGAGCGTTTGTAGACATCTGCTTTTGAACT